AAGAAAATGGATCTAACACAGTGAATTGCAAGAGTCTTTTGGGAGAGTCACTCAGTCAACCCTCTTTATTCTTACAACAACCCTCTTTATTATTAATGTTAGAACTGAGGTGGCCTGGACTAAACATTGATGGGACTGGCAATCTTTTGATATCTCCATCCTATTCCACAGAAAAAAAAGAATAAAACGCTTCCTATGATATCAAGACCCTATATAAGCTTAGTTCTATTTCTAACAAATTAAGTACTCCCTGTCTGGAGTCATGGAGAATAGATGCTGTCTGTACCTATTCAGCTTTGAACTAATGATTTGATGACATAACTTATCCAAATACAGTTTCTTCTTGAGAAAAGGAGGAAAGAAAGAGGCAACAGCTGCATAAAAATATCCACAGTTGCAGTTTAAGAGGTTAGATAAACAACTGAAAAAGTGATATGGAGTTACACCAAGTAGAGAGAAAAAAATCACTGAAGTCACAGGAACTTGATTTAAAGGCCCGGAATTTGGCCCTAGGATACAGATTCCACTATAGTATAGATCAGAATCTATTACTGAATAATGGGTGGTTAGCCCTAACCAAAAATGGAGCGCTTTGCAGAAGCCACTCAGCCAGCATCTGGAAGGTTTGATTCTAAAATGATGGTAAGAAACTCTTCTTCACTACCGTGTTCATCATGCCAGAAGCTTACACTTAGGATTTAGGAATTGCCTCCTGGAAAGCTTTGTGTTACTAATAGAAATAGTCTTTACTTAAAAGTGTTAAGCAAACCTCTTCGGTCTAGATTTCTTTCCCTAATGTAGCCCTACTACAGTCACCAGAATGCAGAGGGGGAGAGAGTGGGCAGGTGGCATCTAGATTAATAGTGAGGGGAAATGGGCAGGTTTCTCCTCATCACCAGGTGACCTAACCCTCAGCTCTGCTCTGTTCCATGTGGGTCTGGCTCAGTTCAGCCCAGGGTTTTACTCTGCCTACTGGTCAACCTCTCTCCTAATTTCTCTCTGAAAATTTCCAATTTAAACTAAAATGGAAAGAGGTAGGAAGACTAACATCTTGTATTTTCTTATATGTTCAGGAGCAGAGTAGGGACTACGGTAAGGTGAAATTTTATTTTATTTATTTTTTGTTTGTTTTTATATTTTATTGATTTTTTACAGAGAGGAAGGGAGAGAGATAGAGAGTTAGAAACATCGATGAGAGAGAAACATCGATCAGCTGCCTCCTGCACATCTCCTACTGGGGATGTGCCCGCAACCCAGGTACATGCCCTTGACCGGAATCGAACCTGGGACCTTTCAGTCCGCAGGCCGACGCTCTATCCACTGAGCCAAACCGGTTTCGGCAAAGGTGAAATTTTAAATAAAGACAGGATCATATAGGAATGGGATTAGGAAGAGGTGTGTGAGGCAGGGTTGTGCAAATGTGGAGTTGGATCCTGCCTTTATTTAAAATTTTGACATTTTTTTGTTATGGATATTATTTACCTTAATCAATTAGTATTTTTGGTACTCTCTTAAAATTTTTACTCAAGACAAATAGCCTCACTTACTTAACCTTAGTCACAGCCCTACTAAGAAAGATGAGGCTCAGAGAGCTCAAATAATTTGCCTATGGACACACAACTAGAAAGAGGCAGGGATGGGATTTGAACCCAAGCCTGTTTGAATCCAAACCCATGCTTTTTTAACTATACCATCTGTCTTTTAACAGTCCGCATAGGGGGTTATCTTGTACCACTCATGGTAATTCATGAAATAAGGGTGCATTCACTTGTCCAGAAGTGAGAGAAGTGACTGAACATTTTTTCAAAACCTAGAGAGTATGAACACTATTCTAAGTGCCAGATGCTTCTGAGAGGTCAAGTTGGCTTTCTGCCTAATTCTTATAATACTTGTCTTGCATCTGGTGCTTTTGACTATCATGTTCCTTTTTCTATTTTAATTTTTTAAATTATTAAAGTATTGTTGGCATACAATATTATATTAGTTTTAGGTGTACAATATAGTGATTCTACATTTTATACCTTATAATTTATCAGCACAATAAGTCTAGTAACCATCTCTCACTGTACAAAATTATTAACAATATTATTGTCTATATTCCCTGTTCTAGACATTATATTCCCATGGCTTATTTATTTTTTAACTGGAAGTTTGTACCTCTTATTCCCCTTCTCCTTTTTCAACCATCCCCCTCAATCTTCCCCTGGCAACAATCAGTTTGTTCTCCATATCTATGAGTCTGTTTCTGTTCCACATATAAGTGAAATCATATGGTATTTGTCTTTCTCTGTCTTACTTATTTCACTTAGCATAATAGCCTTTAGCTGCTAGCATAAAAGCACACTATCTCAAATGGCAAGATTTCATTCTTTCATATTGCTGAGTAATATTCCAGAGAGAGAGAGAGAGGGAGAGAGAAAGAGAGAGAGAATGTGACATCTTATCCATTTATTTATTGATGGACACATAGGTTGCTTCCATAACTTGGCTATTGTACATGAACTTAGGGGTGCATTTACCTTTTTCAAATTAGTGTTTTTATTTTGCTGATAAGGGTAGAGAATAGGGGACCCTTATTCACTGTTGGTGGGATTGTAAATTGGTTCAGCCACTATGGAAAACAGTATGGAAGTTGATAAAAAATTAAAATAGAACTGCCATATGACCCAACGATTCCATTTCTGAATGTTTATTTGACTAGTCTTTTCTTAAAACTCCTCTTGGCCCCCATGACCCTGTCTCTGCTAGTTTTCCTCATACTTTTCTGACCATAGTTTCTTCTGTCTACTTTGTGGACACTTTTCCTCTCCCCATTTCTTAAATGTGTGTCACACAACTTTTCCCACTGTATACATTCTACCTGGACATACTGATGACTATCCATTCTGTATATCTCAGAAAAACCCAAGTTAAATTCCTCACTCCTTCTTGCCCTCTGTCATTCCCAACCAGTTCTTCTATGTTCATTCCCAAACTTCTATCCAGGCACCCAAGCCAGGGATCAGAGAATCTTTCTTGAGTTATCTTTCCCTCAGTGTCCACATCCAATAAGACATCAAATTCTGTTGATTTTGCATCCAAAGTATCCTTGACTCTGTTCCCTTCCCTCTATCCTTACTGTCATTACTCTAGTCCAGGTCTCTACCTGGTTTCCTTGCTTCCAGGCATACCTCTTGTATCCATCCTCCACATTATTTCCAGAGGCAGCTTCCTTACAAGCAAATTATATTGCTCCCCTTGGATTATAGGATAAAGTCTAGCTCCACAACGCAATATATGTGATCTGATTCATATCTATCTCCCCAATTTCATGTCTCCCCTTCCTCCCCCAACCTATGCTGAACTGGGGCAGTATGCACAATACACCAGTCTAATTTGTTTTTCAGGGCCTTTGCTCATCCAGCTTCCCCTGCCTGCAATACACTTTCTTTATTGATCTTACAAACAATTGTTCTTCTTTTAAGATTCTACTCTAGCTTTTCTCAGTCCTCATCTAGGAAGACTTGACCACTCCCTCAGGTGTACCTCCACTGTACCCACTTACATAATTTTATTCAGCACCCATAATACTTTTTAAAAAAATATTTTCATTGCTTTTTTAGAGAGAGAGGAAGGGAGAGGAAGACAGAGAGATGGAAACATTGATGAGATCGTCTGCCTCCTGCATTCCTCCTACTGGGGATTGAGCCTGCAACCTGGGCATGTGCCCTGAGTGGGAATCAAACCAATAACCTCTGGGTTCATGGGTCAATGCTCAACCATTGAGCCACATCAGCCAGACTCACCCATAATACTTTATTGCACTTATGTATTTGCATAACTATTCTTTGTCTTATAAACTCAAGCTTCAGGAAGGCAGGGCCTTTGAATAATTAATATCTCTATCCAGAGTACCTAGTCCTGTGCCTAGCATAAGGAGACAATAAATATTGAATGAACTGATGGATACTTAATGAAAACAAAGCAGTGGGCAAACCCAATAAGACACAATAAAATCTTATCAATTTACTTTGAGGATCAGGCCACTATGAATAGTGAAAAATATGATTATCTATTAGGCTAAGGTCAATATAATTATATTACTTTGTAATATATCCAGTGACTCCCTTCTCTGTCCTATGATGTCTCCTTTTGGGCTACAATTAGACATTGTGCAGACCTCTGTTATATACCACTAACCATGCTGCTTTATAATGCTCTTTATGTATCTCTTTCCCCCCACTAGACCAAGAGCTTCTTGACCCTGTCTTATTCATCTGTATATCTCCATCGAATAATCCATAGTAGGTGTTCAATAAGTATTTGTTGAATTAAAATTAATGAAGTTGGACCAAGCTAATCAAAGGAGTGTCTTGTAAAGGCCTGGGGATTTAGCTCAATGACCATGAGAATAATTTTTGTCTTACTATATTTTAAAGATACACAAGGGACTGACATTTACAGACATTTAAATTTTCTACTTGCTTTAGCACAGACACACTTTTTTTTCTTTTTTACCAATGTCACAAATATAAACTCCAGCTCAGCTGAAGTTTCTGAATTATCATAGATTTCAAATTAGGGAAGTCCAAATTAGTGAGGCTTTACCATACTGTGCCTTGCCTTGTTTCATTTTTGTTGATATTCATATGCATCTGGGTTTGGACAAGGCAGGCACTTGTGGATGTGACTAATCTGTACCAGTTTTTATGGACCTGATGAATTTTCTTTTAAATTCTTAATGTTGTTTATGATTTATAATTAGGAAAAAAATTAAACTATAAGCCAAATTCTCTTACTTTCCATGCTGTTACTACAGTTTAAATCATTTAAATTACAGGGATCTCAGCAGATTGCTTGCTTTTCTTCTTATCTTAATTACAAAGCTTTTGTCTTTGGGAACAGTAAAAAAAAATGGGATACCCTTGGCTGGTGTGGAAAGGGAATGGTGGGGAAGGAGGACCTTTCTTGTGTTAACTTCATAGGTAATGCGGTGATTTCCTTATGGTATTCCACTTTAGAAACGTGCTTACAAGACCTATGTCCGAGCACTTCCTCTGCTGAAGAAAATGGGAATCAATTCCATTCTCCTCCGTAAAAGCATTGGTGCTCTTGAGGTGGCCTGTGGCATTGTCATGACCCTTGTGCCTGGACGTCCCAAAGATGTGGCCAACTTCTTCCTGCTTTTGCTGGTGTTGGTTGTGCTCTTCTTCCATCAGCTAGTCGGTGATCCTCTCAAACGCTATGCCCATGCCCTGGTGTTTGGAATCCTACTCACCTGCCGCCTGCTGATTGCCCGAAAGCCTGAAGACCGGTCTTCTGAGAAGAAGTTCTCGCCCCAAGGAAACATAGGAAATGCGGGGAAAGCAGAGGAGCAGCCCTCCTTATATGAGAAGGCCCCTCAGGGCAAAATGAAGTTGTCATAGAAAAGTGGAAGTGCAAAAAGTGGACCTTCCAGGCAGTTGCCTCCATGACACCCAGGAAGATGTCACTGTGTGTTTTTCATTTGCTTTATTTATCTTGGGGTGGGGGGGGGGAGGGAAAATATAATCTACAAGTTAATGGCCCTGTTAGTTTGTGTACACCTAAACCCTAAAATGACCTCCCCACATAGACAGACATATGTGCACCATCTTTAATCACTCTGGGGAACTCTCACATCTTGCTGCATGTACATGTATATGGCTAACTACTGAAGTGTTTTTGTGAGATGGACTCCAGCAAGCATGTGACTGTGAGACTGTATGTGTGGGAAAATGTATTTACTGTGTGTGTGCATGCACATGCGGAGGAAAAGGCTCTGATCTTGAACTAATCCTGCATAGGTATCCTTCCCTTTATAAACCCAGTCTAGTGAAGACAGAATAAAATAAATCTCCTATAAAGAGAATCTACTTTTGGTATAAAACAAATGATGTATTCCCATGGGATGGAGGAATCCCTTGATAGATTAAACTGAAAACTTAAACCTACCACTTTAAGAAAAAGGTCGTTCAATTTAAGGCACTGAGCTATATGTAAGATTAATTTGCCTCTACTTTTAACAGTTGTTTAAATTTTAAATACTCCATATTGAGTTTAATTAAAATAAGGAATATATGCAGTCAGTAGATAATCTAGTTCTTCAAGTGATGAAATTGAAAGTTTCACCTTGCTTTTGTCCAAGCCCAACCTACTAAGCTCACAGTTTGAAACTGAAGCAGTAAACATGTGTTTTTGTTAATTTTCTTAAGCCAAAAACTGGCTCACTTCCATTATTCTCAGCAGCTAACCAGGATTTGGCAGCTTCTCCACTGTTGTGGCTGAGGGAGCAGGGATTAGTCCTGTTAGAAGTCTGTGAATCTCAAACTGTTCTCTTAAATCATGTGAAATTTGACCGAAGAGTTGTACCCAGTGTTTCCCTGACAAATAGATTCACTACTCTTATTGAATTTTCATTGAACTTTGCTAGTGTAAGCAGAGATCTAAGTTACCCCCAATGTTGTCGCCTCTGCACTTCTTTATTATTCCAGTGGGTGGAGTTTAGCTGAGGGAAGGACATTTGATATGGGTTAGTTGGATCCAGCAGTATGAAAATTTGCTTTCTTCATTACATACTGATGTTTCTTCTTGTTAGATGTGCTTTGATGGTTTTGATATTATTGTGCCAGGGATGGGAAAAGGGGTGGGGGTGTTTTGTGTGTGTGGAGTAAATTATTGTATTTCTTCAATGTCATTGTTCTTATTAATTGATACCTCTCTGTCTTATTTCTCTCATTCTTTCAAAATAAAAAAATTGAAATTTGGAGGAAACTGTTGGGACAAATATTGAAAATCTGGAAAGTAAGGGTAATATCAAGGGATTTGGGCTCTTTTTTGCCTGGATAAGGGAGAAGAAAGAGAAGGGGATGTATAGTCACTTAATATATTAAGATTACCAATTTTCCAATCTCATTTAGGTTCCTCCACACCTCTGTGATAGAAAGCTATAGAATTAGGATCTCAATGCAATTTCCAGATTTGGGGAATTCTGCTTCATTAGGTGATGCCAGGGGAAAGTAGAAGAATGATTTCAGTGAAAATTGCAGGTATATTAAATAAAGATGAACCAGTTTCTCTCACTATATGTGTCCACGAAGTGGCACAAGTTCCAGTGCCACAGACTTGTCACATTAACCAAGTTATTTCCTCACTCAAGGCCCCAGTTTCATCATCTACAAAAAAGAAGGGGGATTGAAAGCTTAAAAGCCCTTCCAATTTACAACTGAGCCTATGAAATGATTAAAATGACTCTTGAGAAATGTTCAGTTTTAGTAGAAAAGGAAGAACAGCTACCATGGAAATATTGAACACTCATTTCTCATGCATTATTAAATGAGTTCATTAAAGTGCTCTGAAAAACCATACAAATATAAAATGTCATAAACAGTCATTTCTGCTGTAATCTCCCAAATACATCAACTTAACCCGTGATTCTTCATGTCTCCCTAAAATAGCCAAGTTTCCTTCTACAGTTTTACCTACAGTTTATAGATATGTTTTGGCTTCAAAAAAATCAGCGAGAGCTGTTAAATTTATATCTTTCCTCTCTGATTCCTAGTCTAGTAAGAGATTAAACTAGGGACTACGCTCAGGTCTCACACTAAACCTTTGTTGCTATTTTAGCCAATTTCTTTAAGGTCCATCACTCCTCAAAGTTAGGAATCTTTATGTGTAGACTTGGCTGGTTATGTGCAAGGTGACACATCTGGCCCAGGACACGTTTTTAGCAAACCCTGGAAGGTATGGGTACCCATCCTCGGTAAAGGGAGGGTAGATCCAGCCTCCCCCACTCCTTCCCACCTCCTAGTTTCACATGGGGAAAATGATAGCTATAGAGGTCACAGACCCTTTAACCTAAGTCTCTTGCCCAGAATAGGAGAGGCAGTCTTTACTGCAAAGTTTGCAGTTTCATATTTTCCCGCCAAGTCGCGACGTTTGGGGTCAATCTGGGCAAAGCCATCGCTATAATTAATCTTGTTAAGTTCAAGAATTCAGATGCTGATCTGTTTTAGGCAAAATGAAAGAATGTGAACATTATTAGGACAGCGGAAACGCCAGCCAATCAGTTTGCTCCTGCCGCAACGGCCCACTCACCACAAGTACCAGGGACCTAGTGGGTGGGGCGAGCAACGCACCGAATTGGGTCTGCGTCAGCATCAGCGTCAGCGTCAGCGTCAGCGTCAGCCCCAGCGCGCGCGCCGCCTTGCGCTGTAGAGCTGAAACCCAACCAATCAGACTTCAGCAGAGCGCAGCCGCTCTGCCCGGTCGCCGCCTGCGTCTGCGCGGAAGAGTATGCGCAGGGCGGGGCTCGCTCATTTGAATCCTGGAGGGGATGTTTGAACTCCGGAGGTTCGGGGACAGAGGAGTGTATTAGGTAAGGTACTTTTAAATACTGCGTGAAAGGGGGATTCCGAGATCAAAGAAGCTCTTTGACTTCTGAGCAGGACTATCCTGCAAGATGTGGCTGGGGTAGGGTTTTCCCCGAGCCTGGGAAGCGGGCGGTGGGGGGTGGGGAGGCGCCGGGGAAGCCTTGGGAAGATAGGGGATCGGTCAACCGGGTGGGGTCTGAAGCTGTTGGCTTGCCTTTCTTTGGAAGGAACATAGGAAACAACTCGGAACTTGGACTCTCCCACAGGTTTAGACACGCATATTGCTCTCCTGCTCTGGTCTCATCTGCTGTAGGGACGTGGGATTGAGTGTCATTCCGACCATTCCCTTAGTTTTTGTCATTTGAAGCCAAAAATTCAGAAGTCTTCTGGGTTCCTCTCTTTCCTTCTCCCTACATCCAGTATTTTATCACGACCTTGCCCAGCCTATCTCCAACACTTATCACGAACACAATCATTTTCTACCTTTTCCACCGCTGTACATTAGACCTAGTTCAGGCTACAGTTACATCTCTTCAGGACTTCTGCAAGACCCTTTTAATTGCCCTGTTTCCACTCCTTGACCCCTAGCATTCTATTTTTCACACTGCAGCTAAAATGGCCTTAGAACATAAATCAGATGGCATCATTCCCCTCTCTAACACTCCTCCCTAACCGATAGTTGCCACTTAAAATCCAAACTCCTTACTCTAGCATACACGTCCCAGTATGGTAGTCCCTGGCTGCTTTTCTGACCTAATCTCCCACGACCCTCTGCCTCTTTCATATCACTACCTCTCCCTTCCCGACTGGTATTGCTACTGTTTTCCTAACAGACAAAGCTCTTGCTTCAAGGTCTTAGCAAGTCTTAGTTTTGCTTTTCCATGAAATACTCTTCCAGCACATCTTCACATAGCTGGTTCCTTTCTGGCATACAAAAGTCAGTTTAAAGGTCAATCAGGGAGGCTTTCTGTGAACACTTATTCCAAAGTAGCTTCTCACTTCCACCTCATTTCTATCACATCACTGTGTATTAGTTCACTATTAGCTATATATTTATTTATTGACTCTCACACCACCACCCCCATAAGTTTCATGAGAGCAGAGACCTTGACTATTATATGATCTTATCCCTGGTAGCTAGAACTGTGCTTGGAATATAGATGATGTTCAGTAATTACCTACTGAATAAGTGAGTTAATTAATGGGGAATTTTTCTGTTCTGATAATCCTTAGTTTGCACACCAGTTTGACTTTTGAACTATGCGATTTTAACTTAGCACTGATAAAGTAGGGAGCATAAAAGATGAAAAGTAGAATTAAGGAGAGGTGGAGAAAAATAGGAGTGATTGGAGAAAGTAAGATTGAGTTCATAAGATGGCTTAATTTTGGACATACTTATGTGATATAGCCATTTTAAGAAAATTGCTATGTTACCCGTACTCTTACTCTTTTATTTTCCTCCAGGAAGGCCAGTTCAGCTGGTCAATGTTAATTTGGAGAGTTGTTTCTCTCTGTTCCTATTTAGGTCAAGGACTTTCTGAGAAAGCTAACCTATAAGTTTTGTTGCCCAGATTTTTGTCAGTTTTTTAACGGTGTACTTGTTGTATGTTAGGTAGTATGTACTAAATGTTTAGAATACATTCAGATGTGGTCCTTGTCTTTGTGGAGTAGAAAGGGACAGTTTGGTTGGTTAATGGTAATGACACTTGTTTCTGCATAGAACATGTGCAGTAATGTCAGCTCGAAAGAGAGTTAAAAGCTCTCAGACACCAAGAACTTCACAACATCGTAATAGTTATCAGACTAATCTCTTGGCTTGGAAACTGAAAGAGGACCTAAGCAACTCAAGGAGCACCTCGAAACATGTACAAAACAGTCCAGTGGAAGATTCTGAACAAGCTGATGCTGATGAGCAAGCAGAAGATGCTCTGCAAATAGCAGTAAGATACTTTGAGAAAGGTAAGACAGATGGTTTTCCTTATGAAAGTCCTATTTCTATCAAAATATTCTAGACTTCTTTGTTGAGGAATTTTAAAGGAGAGCATATTTTTGCTCATTAATGTTTTTCTCTGCTTAATAGACATTTATTGAGCTCTTACTACATATGGGTATGCTAGGTACTAGTATACAACAGCAAAGCGCATTCCTGGCAGAGCGGTTTCCAAACTGCTGCACATTGGAGTCACCTGAAAATCTTTAAAACACACTGATGCCTGGCATCCACTCTTAGTTTGATTTTATTGGTATGGGATGCAACCTGGGCACTGGGACTTTTTAAAGGCTCCTAACATGATTTCAAAGTTTGGGAATCATGCCCTAGTACTGGAACAACTTATAGTCTAAAATCAGTGCTTTTAGTTAGTTTAGAGCAGCCGTGGGCAAACTACGGCCCGCGGGCCGGATCTGGCCCGTTTGAAATGAATAAAACTAAAAAAAAAAAAGACCGTATCCTTTTATGTAATGATGTTTACTTTGAATTTATATTAGTTCACACAAACACTCCATCCATGCTTTTGTTCCGGCCCTCCGGTCCAGTTTAAGAACCCATTGTGGCCCTCGAGTCAAAAAGTTTGCCCACCCCTGGTTTAGAGCAGAGATGCCAAGGCATGATTTAGTTTTCCTTACTGAAGGTGCTGTTGCTGTTAAATATTCTAGAGTTTGATCCCTTAGGCCACTGCCACCACCATGCAAATAGAAGTAGGATATAAGGGAGCGAATGCCTGGGTGGAATGGATTAAATATTCTGTACGCGCCCTAAATAAAAGCGACTGTTACGCTTGCGTGGCAGGAAGGCTAGAGGCCCAAGTGGTCCCATTTTCATTCGGATGGACCTCAGACAGTAACCAGATGGAATGTGTGCTTGCCCTGTGTCAGGAGGAAATCGCCTGGGGAAACGCTTCCTATAAAACTCTCTCCTTGTTGAGGTAAAGAGCAAGGGTCCCCAAAACAATCTGGTCCCCATTCTCCGATGTAAACTATAGCTCCTGCCTCTCAAGGTGTGGGGGGAACAGTACTTGGAGTTTATGGGAAATTTATCCAGATGTGTAAATGGCTGAGTATCCTCAGAAGCCAGTCATGGTGCACTGTCAATACCCCGTGCTGATGTCTGGTGGTGTTATGGAGGACCCTGACTTGGGCCTTGCCCAGCAAATGGAGTGGAACTTGCGCTCTGATACAGTTGGGTGTCCCTTCCACTTTGGCATATTGTAAACCTTTTTCAATGGACAGACAGACTAGGAAGAAGAGAGAGAGTCCAAGGGCTCCTTTGATCCCCATGTACACACAGATCAGATTGCTGCAGGGTTAGAATCTGTCCTGTTCTGGTGGCCCACTCTAAACAAGAATGTGGATTGGATTAATTATATTTACTGTAACCAGCAAAGGCTTGTTAACTATACTCGAGATGCAGTTAAAGGGATAGTGAACAGCTAGATGCTACCCACAAGGTGACATGGGAGAATAGGTTGGCATTAATATGTGTAATTTTGGGGGTTAATGTTATACATTCATCTCTGACAACACAGCCAAACAGAACCGTCACTGAGGCCCCACAGGGATTGACAGCTTTGAGTTAGCTGAGAATTCTTAAATTGAGGATGCTTTCTCCAATTTAGCAATGGTTCAGAGAATGGAAGGGAATGACAGAGGTGGGATGTTATATTATCTCTCATGTATGAGAGGTCTTATCTAAAGGTTAATTGAAACCTCATTGACCAAACAGCAAAATAATCTTCTAGACACTGCAGATCATGAAAATCAATGAATGTTAGCAGAGTTTGAAGAAAAGAGTTAAATAAGAAAACAGGGAATTGTGAGAATAAACAAGTAATCTTTTCTGTCAAAGAAGGGAGTTTAGGCAGCCACCACTTTACCTCAGTGGCTTGCAGCTCCTCTGGAGGCCACCATTTTGAAATGGCAAAGGTCAACCCCTTTAAATAAGCCCATCATGCAAGACTGGGTGCCTAAGCTCTTCCAATCAAGAGTGAAGGACAGGAACAAAAGCCCTAGCAGACACCTGCTCAATGTGCATGTGTGTGTACATTCTCCTGCAGGAGTAAAGATATTTGCCTTGCAAAAAAAAATATTCTAGAGTTTGAAAAGCTTTGAAGGACTTTTAGGAAGATATTTTATGCATAAAGCTATTCCTTTAAAGCAGCGGTTCTCAACCTGTGGGTTGCGACCCCTTTGGGGGTCGAACGACCCTTTCACAGGGGTCACCTAAGACCATTGGAAAACACATATATAATTACATGTTGTTTTTGTGATTAATCACTATGCTTTAATTATGTTCAATTTGTAACAATGAAATTGGGAGTCACCACAACATGAGGAACTGTATTAAAGGGTCGCGGCATTAGGAAGGTTGAGAACCACTGCTTTAAAGTATCCCAAATTGTAATTGTTGAGGCTAGAGACTGAAAGAATTTTAAAGGCCCCACTATTTAATATGGTTCCTTTTTTCTAGGTCCCTTTAAAACTTCACGGAGTAAAGATAAAACCTTGGAAAAACACTTGAAAACTGTGGAAAGTGTGGCTTGGAAGAATGGGTTAGCTCCAGAAGAAATTGACATCCTATTAAATGTGGCACTCAGTGGCAAATTTGGTATGTCAAGAGGATAAATGAGTTTGCTGTTAGTTTTGCCTCCCAGACTTTGAATTAGGTTGTTCTTTGGAATCAGTTGCAGTT